TTTCTTAGCCACCCTCAATCTGTGTGTAGTAACTTTCAAGACGAAGAAATTCCTTGAATGTTTTTAGCATTTTTGTGCCTTATATGGCAGCCCGGCTAAAAGTTAAAGCTAGGTAATGTACAGGCATCTTGAGGAGACCAATCCCTTTGGTTGGATATCTGCACGAGTTTTAGAACGTTATTAGGGTGATTTCATTTCATATATCCCATTAGATTTAAGAACTTGTTTACCGGTATATTTCATTTCATCTGAAAAATGAAGTATGATTTACAAGATTATTACCATTGACTGTTGCGCCTTTCTGGCGTCACTACATACCAAGCAAGAATTTTTCATCAACTAAAATGGAATATATGAACAGTCAAAAAGGATGAAAATGCTGTCAAAATGTCCTACAGTACGATATACCTGGTATTGCACCGTATCGATATTATGATGTGATGATAGACGATCGCTTCCTTCACATTGCAGTTTGTGTTTATAGTCTTCCTTGTCGATGGGCAACGCACAGAGCGATGATCATCCTGAGTATGAACTCTATTACCAGATCCTCAAAGTCAGGCACCAGGTATACATGTTACACTCCACTCTGCGTTCATACATAGCTTCAACATCGTTCCAAACAACGTTCCTTCTGAAAGTTTCCAAATGCAGTACCCAATTATCCTGGTTCAGAGGCACTGGGGGCATGGGAAAGGGGGGGGGGGTTATTAAAGGTCCCCCACCCCCATTTCAACCAAATAAACTGGCATTCTTTAAGTACAGAAGAAAGAAATTTTTGTTTTGCTTTTCTCAAAATTGTCAAACATTGTGCCCCTTATTTTCCTAGATCCACCCTAGCTCAAAGGGTATTTGTTTTTGTTTTTTTTCCCACTCCTCAATGGAAATATGTTTTGTTTTGAGTTCTGAGGCATTTTTATAACTTTACACCATCTCCAGCTGAAATATGTAATGAGAATATGTGGGGAAACATTTTTTGGGAATGCTTGCTTAACTTCGTGTGAATTTGATTCATGATTTGATGCAAAGCTTTAGCATAATCTGCAGGTTCAAAATTTCATTTCATTTTAAAGAATATGTTTTAAACTTTTAAAAAACATATATGTACATGTACATTCAGGCCCGTAAATGCGCAACAGATGTTGAGGTTATGTTAACATGCAGTGGTGACATACACTGTACAACCAGACTAATAACACCAGAATTATATATAATCAATACTACTAACACACATATCATCATCATCATCATCATCTTACGTCTCTCTGCATCCAACTGTGTGTACCTGTATGAAACTCTCCTGTACTCGTATATAGCATGCCTGGCAGAAGGTCATATCTCCTCTGCATGGACTTTTGAATGTTGTGACGGAAGATCGTTGAATTTGAAGTTAGGACACTACAGATAACTGTGAACAGACCAGTTTACTAACATATTCAAATTTATGGACGCCTCTTTGCTGAGGATCTAGTGACGAGTTATTCCATGAACTGCAATACTTGGAATCCAATCTGTGTGCATTTCTTGTTGCTATGTCGGGCAAGCCTTTCAGATTGTCTAGAATGACCTTTGTTCAGAAGTTATGCATAAAATTTGAATATGTTAGTAAACCGGTCTATTGATTCATAGATGTACATAGTGGTTTGAGAGTTAGAAGGGTGATAACTCTGTATTTATAGGTGATGCAAGTTGTGCCCTTCTGGCTCTGAACAGAAAAAATAGAATTGGTATTAGATAAAGTCACCTGTATTGAGCTATCAGGACATTAACTTGTATGCCTCAACACGGAGTTAATGATCTTTTGGCTCCAAACAAACAATATCTGTTGAGAACAAGAAGGTTGTTAATTCACATTTACTCCAACGCCCTACTGGCTCTCAATTGTGACAACATCTCATATTACCGTACATATTCAACTTCAAATGTCTGTTTTCTTAGTCTGTTTCATTCATCGGCAAACGTGGTCGTAGAGAAGAACCTGAATACACTGTATACTACCAGGTAGGATTTAGGGTGGACACCAATTATAGAAGATTCACCATTCTGAATATTTTAGTCAGTTTTTGATGGGCGATACCTTTGCTTTATGAATTTTAGGGTATATTGTGGTTATTCAGTTCTTCTCCTGCTTTTTGACACTTTCTTAAGATTGCCCCTCGATATCATTTTGCGAAAGGGGAGCTTTTGTATTTTGGTTGGGAGTTGCATGATGATGTTTTCCTCTTTCAAATTGTGTTTTTATCCCTTACTTTCTCTGCTTCATAGTGAAGTTCATACTCAGTTTTTCTGAAGTGTACTTCTCTCACTTCCTTTTGTTCTATCCTTTTTCTTTCCATATTCTTCCTTTCAGTTCATAGTATAGTTTCTCCTTCTTTCTTACCGGTAATCATGTTGAGTTGAGGAGGGTGCTTTGTAGAGGTTCATGTCGTGTCTCGTCCAACAAGATGTCATCTGTTCAGAGCCAGAATGGTGTTAACTCTATGTTGAAGTATATGAGTCAGTGCCCTTCTGGCTCCAAACAGACATTGTGTGTGTTTTTCTTGGAGAGTCTTTTAGTACTACTTCTCTTTCTCCTTTTATAATTGTTGTTGTCATTGTTTTTTTTAAATCTTTGAATTTCATTTCAAACACTCTTCTTCTAGTTGTTTTTATACCACCACTGGTGATAAAATCATTCCTAAATCTTGTTGGTGTTATTCCTGAAATCTGGAGCAATTTTTTTCTTCTTCAAATATTTCTGTTGAGTCTAATTGTATTTTTTTGATTTGTTGATATTCATATTTTTTCAAAAATCTTATTGCATCTGTCATTTGAGCCGTGTGGATATCTGCCTTTTAGAATTCAAACACAAGTGACTTGTTTGTTTAAGCTTTAATAGTGCATGTAGATAATCAGGAGGGATGTTGGGCTTCTGAGGCTCTGTTTCATATTTCTTCAGAAAACCATATGAAAATGATAATTTAAAGTGAACTGCCTGTTTGATATACATTTAATTTAATCCTTGCTTGGGTGGATTGTGTAGATTGATTCAGATTGATTCAGCAAAGAGAGAGAGAGAGAGAGAGAGAGAGAGAGAGAGATAAATGAATGAAAACATTTATGAACCATACATAAGTCTCACAAAGATATATGTAGTGCAGTCTTACTTTTTATATTGTATTTACTGTTTTTTCCTGTTTTTCACATGGAAAACTTTATTATTGAAATTCATTCAAGTCTTTGGGACACAAGAATTAACACTAACAGACATACATTACATGTTATAAAAAGCCTTTCTGTCTCTTAGCAGATGGCATGATTTTTGTTGTTGTTTACTTTACAAATAAATGCTTCATTGCCTTTTTAAAAAACAATCAACTTTCTAGACATGCTTCTGAAAGTACTTTTCATATCAGTTTCATTTAAAAAGCTTTTAACCTTTAAGGGTGCTTTTTAAAGCATAATGTTACTTGCTTTTAACATATCGTAATAGTCTCTTTTGAATCAAACCTACATGTATATTGCATGCTGATATTATTGTATGAATTGTGGATTGCATATGTTTACCAATTTTATTCTGCTTTGTATTTGATAAATAATTTGGCATATTCTTGTTCTCCTTTTCATATATATTGTTATACATGAATGCATGCAGTTGCATTTTCTTATCATATCCTTATTATATTCTTTCATTGGTGTTTTGATCACTAATGCATGCATTTTGACACATTTGCTTTTCATCAGTTTTAATCCCATCTGATATATATTTTTGTGTGGTGTTTTTAAACGTTCATATTTGCATATTTGTAAAGGTGTCATATCCTGTGTGACCCATATATGTATTCTCATTACAAATATATATTTTAGGTACTCCAGTGTCATTTTTCATATATTTCCTCACTAGTATAGTTTTCTAGTTAATTTTCAGATATCAGATTTTACTAGATAGTTTAAGCTGTTCAAATTTGTTTTTTTGGTTTAAAAATGGAACTTGTTGAATAAAGTTTGCTCCCTTTAAAAAGAGTTCTACTTCTTACATATATTTAAAGGGGGGAAAAGGGCAAAGGAAATGGAGATAAAAGAAAGAAAACAGAAAAACTTTACAAGTCCTTAAACATATATGTATATGCCTGGTTAAATCTTTTCAGTGTAAATATTAGCCAATCAAGTACAATTTTATGGTCGTTAACATTCCATTGCCATGGTTTCCATTGAAATCTACACCAATGCAATCAACAGGAATATTTGTAGAGGCTAAACATCCTTCCTATAAAAGAATATTGACTTTTGTCTGTTATTGTCCAGTCTAAATCCCTGCGGTTTGCATTCAGTTTACCAAGTGCAGTCATTATTGGACACTTGTAGAGAGGGAAGAAATGTTGACATTATCAATTGAAAGCAATCGCAGTATGTACAATATATCAAGGATAAACTCTTTTTTTTTTGGAGTGGGGGGGGGGGGTAAAGTTTAGGAGTTGTGCTGCATGATAATTCAGCGCTATTCTTGTATTTTTAGTGAAGGTGTACAAGAAGAGATTGCGGATTTTCAATGTCCTGTAGGGAATGTTATTTCACTAGAGACTGCTTTATTTGACTAAATATTGACTATATATTAATGAGCTGAACCAAATTGCTAGATTCATCATGAATAGCACTAACTGGTTAGCTGCCCTGAAAACAGTTGCCTTCATATTTGCATAACCATTGCAGAGAAGTTATCCAAAGTTGAATTTGTTTGAATCCATGCAAGTGACAAAAAATAACCAGTTAGCTAGAAACATTTATTCCTAAAATCTCAGCCACTCTGAAACAGAGCCGTTATTGCGAATATCAGTACTACAGCTTTAGATACCGTAGGCATTATAACCATTCACATTTATAGCCATTTGAAGTGCATGCTTTATTGATTTTCTTCCATTCTCTTTCATAACCCTCATGATTTTATATTTTTATGTTGGGTGTTTTTCTCATCTTTTTGTTCCCCTTTACCTTTTTTTTTACGACTACCTTACGACGACTAGGCTAAGAACGAACGGCCCTGTGTGTTGGACAAGGAGGTAGAGTCGGTGGTGATGGAGCTCCAAGAAGAATTGATCTCGGTCAGGTTAAAAGAAGCAGAGTCGGCGGAGTCTCTCAAAACTTTTAGCACCAAGATTGAGAGTCTGGAAAAGGTACCCCTACCCCCCCCCCCCCAAGAATAAAATGATCAGAGAAAGCCACAAGTAGATTTTTCACTTCATTTTTAGGGAGATCGTTTCAAGTGATCCCCAACCATTCACCCATCTCCCCCCAATGCTATCAAGTAATCAAAACGTTTTATATAGTAGTAATAAAATAAGGAAATAAAATTTGATGAAAATGAGAAAAGGAAAATGAATTGAACAATATTCATTAATTGACATGCTTTGTGGTATAAATATGATTGAAATCATTTTTTTGGCTTTGAACACCTAATTATAAAGATGAATACAATAACCACTTTACATCTAAAAACGACAATTTTAGACGAAAATATTAGTAGAAAGCACTGTGTTTTGTTCCAAACACAAATTGTCCCATCATTGTAAAACATTAATATCTGTGATTGATAAAGAAAATGTGATGTATAAAATGACATGGCCTCTGACTTTCATAACACTTTTTTTTATTTTTTTATTTTTTGTTGGCTCACTTATTTATTTCCAAACATAACCAATTACACAAAATGTATCCAATACTCATTTTTTATTTTATTTATATTATTTTCATTTATCATCTTATTCATTTATTCCCGTCATCAAATTTATTCCCACCCTTCCCCTCCATTTTTTGGGGATTCATCTGATATTATTTGAGTTTCCATGCGGTTTTTGTTTTCCTTTATTTAAGATTAATTGCTATTAATTAAGCATGTATCACGCTTAACTGTTTTCTGAATAAAACAAAAGAAACGCTTCCAATTTGAAAACTAATCAACACAACTCTGAACTATAATTTTTCTAACAGAAATAATTACAGTCAGGGTTCAAATATACTGTCTTTCAATAATAAACTATAATTGTCAAAATATGTTAAATTATATTTGTATTTATATTCTGATCTCTCTGTTCTCATGTATATCTTATAGCCCCTGTTGCTCAGAATATTTTGTATATATTCTGTATTTTTATTTTACTTGTTGACTTCTCCTCTCCTGTCTATTTTGCATTGAAAATGCTTACTTAAATGTAATGATGATGGCTTTACATGAATGATAATATAATATTCCTTATCTATAAGAGATGATTTGTTGTAAAATATTTATATTGACAGTACATGAATTAAAACATTGTTACATTATTTTGTTAATATTGGGCACTTAAATACAAAATACAAATAAGTAACGTGCAATTCTTAAATTTTATCAGGGGGAGGGAAAATATTAATTAATAATTTTTTTTTAAATGAAAATTTGACGTTTTAAAGTTGGTTATGGAAAGCATTTACTGTGAAACCTGAAACTTTTCAAAATTTTGTGAACCGTTCAGATTTGTGAATCACACTTGTGAAAAGTTTATGTTGCTAAAATGGCATTGTTTACAACTCTTGAAAGATTCTGGTTTTACAGAACATCGTCTGTTTGGAGCCAGAAGGGCGTTAATCTACTTCAACACAGAGTCAACAGCCTTCTGGCTCTGAACAGACAAGATAAAGTAAAATATATTCTTTCTCTCATGGTTTCCTCCGTCTTCTCTTCTTTTTCTTCCATCCTTCGCTCCATCCAGATCAATCAGAAGTTACGGAAGGAGCCCGGCCATTCCATCGCGGCCCTCCAGGATGAGCTGATCGCCGTCAAGCTGAGGGAGGCCGAGGCCAATCTCGCTCTCAGGGAGCTCCGGGAGAAGGTCAACGACCTTGAGTCCCACTGGCAGGTAGGTTGGTTGGGGTCATTGCACTTTAGTGGAGTCAATGAACTTTGAAGATATACATGCCGTGCATGTTCTTCTCCCGTCTGCTTGGTTGCTTTCAGAGGAGTTAAACTGTACTGCTCCTCATGATGAAGACTTGTTGGACCACAGGCCTCCATGCACCTCATACAAACCTTATACCCTAGTCAAGGCTCATTAAAACTGCAGGGGTGTTATAAATATGATAGCATAATAACTGATTGCTGCAATAAAATGCAATTTAATTTCATATATGATTAAATAAAAGGAAACCGGAAGAATGTTAAATCTGTGTCAAGGTGTCAATGTGAAGATTGTCCAAGAAAAACAATTAAAATTGCTAAAAAGTCAAACTGCATCTTATAATTTTTAGTGTTCTATGATCTTAAAGGTAAAGACCAGTATTGGAAACGCCCCAATTTCAAAAAATGAAATGGAAGCTCTTATTACCAATCATGTGAAAGAATATGTTTTGAGTATTACATGATGATAACAATTTTGATGGGAAACCGCCTACTAATTGATATATTTGGTAAATTAGTGTATCTCTTGCCTGTTGAGAGATATGAAATGCACCTTTTCTGATCGATTTCACAACATTTCTTTCACAATGCAATCGCATGACCATAACTGGTCTTTAGCTTTAAGGTTAAAATAGGAGAATGAAAAGTTTAAAATTACAGCATCATCTACAGTATGATAACAGTTTTAAGCCTTTATTATTATTGTAAATTAATAATGAGGACCCTGTCGTATAAAGAGTTGCTAATGATTGATTCAAACCGATCGCATCTCTTTATAATACAGGGCCCTGATATCTAGTTGCATCTATTTGCATGAGCGTTTTCATGACTGCCATAACTAATATCATTGCCTATCTCTTTTTCTTTTTCTTCCAATTCATCCTGACATCATATTTCCCATCCATTCTTCTGTCCCTCCTTCCATCCATCCATCCATCCATCCATCTATCCATCCATCCATCCATCTCTTTAAAAAATCCTCAGAAACACCTGGAGAAGCTCACCGGGAAGCAGAAGGGGTCAAACTCGAGACCCACGCTCCAGCAGGTCACGGAAGAGCTCATGTCGGTGAGGTTACGGGAAGCGGACACGGCAGCTGACCTCAAGGAAACCCAGCAGAGGGTCATGGAACTTCAGACACAAGTACATACCCAGAAATCATCTTTTTGAGATAATTTCCTTTCGATATATATGTTAGGGCCCTTAGCAAAATGGAATCACATGTATGTAGAACTGCACTTCCTGAGATATGGAGCTGGTAAACGCATACACATGTATGCCTTCCTGATGAGGATTAATGTTGGCTAAACTTTCATTCACAACCCCGTCTTATAAAGAGTTGCGATAATCCGCATCAATCGCAAGTCCTCCAATCAATCACAAGATTACAGTCTCCTATCTCTCATGCGCATAGTAGCGATTGATATCAATCACAAATAAAGTTACTGTTAATCGCAACTCTTCATAAGACAAGGCCAAGATATGTCAAAAAAGAACTTTAAATTAACACACATCACTAACTACAGTATAACTAAAACTGTCATGAATTTATTTATTCAGCCAGTGATGAATGAAAGAACTAAAAATATATCCTTGATATTTTAAAGAATTCAATCGATGTGTATTATTCTCAACTAGAATAATCTGAATTCTAATGCTGAAATCAAGTACATCACAATTGAGAAGTAAATTCAAAAGAATTCCATGCCACACATGCAATTTATTTTACTTTGAAGTTACATGTACCTCCCATCTCCTATAGGATCTATTTTTTTTATTATGTATTTTCAGAACATCAGATATATTTAACATTTGGTGAAAATAATGTTTAATACTGTTTGAAATCTACCCTGGTATTTGTGTGTGTGTTTTTTTTTGGTGGGGGTCATATTTATACAATTTTAAGATTACTTTTTAAATTTGATTTGATTTTTTTTCTTTTTTAGAACCAAATGACAAGTAATCAGATGAGGAGGATAGAGGAGGAGAGGATAGAAGTCAAGCAGGATCTTGAAGTGTGTGAGAAGAAAGAACAGGAGCTACAAAGACAATTCTATGAGGCTCAGAAAGAACTATGCAAACTAGAAGCCAGGGTAAGGATCTATGGCAGTCATGTCTTAAGCCCCACTGCACTACTTATAGCTACTTGCGCCCTCTATATAGCAAACAATGCCTAATCTGTGAACGTTGGTCCCCCATGGCCCCCTTTTTCTTAAAGAAGATGTGTTTTCCACTCAATACAATGCAGTATTTGGAAGTAGAACTACCCCCTCTTGTGTCATGAATTAGCCCATGCTTTCATTCACAAAATGTACTGGTATTGAGTTTGACAAATTCACTTCAAATGTTGAATAACATCATGTAAATTAATCATGATTCTACAAGTTCTTGATTTTCATTAAGGGGTTTTTATGTCTTATAATATTAAATAGCTAGGGATAGATGACATTTTGATCCTTGATTTGAATCATTCAAAATTGAAGTAAAAATCAAAATCAAATCAAAATAAAATTCAACACATCCTGCCACATACATTTGTACTATAGCAGTTGTTTGTAAAAGTGGAATATCGCCCTCTGCAGGCCAAGTTAAGCTCATGCTTGTAAAGGCAACCTGTCACTTAGTCATTTTTAGTGGTAGTTATGAAGAACATGATTCAATAATGAAACAACTTATCTGTGTCTTTATACTAGATGACTGTTCAACATTCACTTGTAATGTTGCTTTATGTAGACACAATTTGGTGGAAGCACCGTGTTGATTTGGTAAAATTTGGGTTTATCTTGTCATATGAACTTGTCATATGAACTTGTCATATGAACTTGTCATATGAACTACCTGCACTAACAGACAACTTGTTAACAAATTAACAAAACTTGTTAACAAATTAACAAAAAAACAAAAAAACAATAACTATTAGTAGTTGTAATTCCTCCTATGGTTAAAGACTGACTTCACTACTTTTAAAAGGCAGTAATAGGGAATCTCTCGATCAGTATCTTTTTGTTATGATACAGATGCTTTTATACGATTTCATTTGAGCATTTGATTTCAAGTGGAGACTTGGTGGTTTACAAATCTTATATATCATTATTATTATCATCATCTTGTGGTTTTGTTCAGGGTTTGAAATAAAGTTTGAACCAAGTTGATGCGCTAGTGCCCTTTGGTAAGGCATTGACCCTCGTTACCAAGTCCCTCGAAGAGGACTTAAAGCCGATAGTCCCCTGGTTGCTAATACATGTACAAGCATTCCGTACACATGCTTTCTTTGCAGTCAGAAAAAAGAAAAGAAAAAAAAAAGACTGAAACATTGAAGAAGAAAAAAATTATTTCATGAAAAATTATCAGTCTGGTTTTGTTGGACTCAGCTAATCTGCCCATAAAATGCTTACAGTTGCTTGTACAATATCCTAGGAGTCATTGAAGTATGAATGGATTAGTGAGATTCTATTGCTATTTTAGGGAACATCAGCGTATGTGCCATGCCCTGGCAAGTCCCAGGAAATGCCCAGACAACTCCCTTTCAACTCTGATGTAACTCCCATGCAACTTCCAAGCAACTCCCAAGTAACTCCCATTTTTCAGATTTCCACTATACACTAGCTGAGTGTCTTATCACTTGATTGCTTTCCTGCAGTAAAATGCCTACCGGTATATCTTATTGTGCCAAATGTTATTTCAATTAGAATTTTTTTTACCTGGTATTTTGTGGAAATGTGCAGATAGATAGAAGGATAGATAGATAGAAATGCTTTATTAAAAAGTTCATCGCAACCAACGGCCGAATTGCGATCCATTTCACAAAGATACAATACAATTGCAATTCAAATCCAAATAACACAAAATATGACATAATGTCATCTGTCATTCACGTACAAGATGTGTCATCCACGACACGTACGAGATGTGACATTCACGTACGAGGGCCAATACTGTTGGTGCCTTGTAGTGCAATATACACATTATATGCAATAACAATTCATGGGTTCAACCAGGCCATAGATTATTACCCTTTTAAGCTTGCCGAGTTCAATTGTGCTTTTATCTGATGACTTCTTACTTTGGAAATCTTCAAAGATGAAATAAAACCGGCACTCGGATTTAAATGAACAACTTCAAGTGCCGACAAGATAATGCAGTCCCATGTATTTGTTTTTATGTTCCTTTTACTTTCAAGTCCTGATAGCCGCTGTTTACCAAGCCATAAAGCATATCGACTTCATATCTTGTTGACGCCATTCTGGCATCAGTGCAAACATGACTCATTCTTTGAAGTCGGTGTGATTGCAATATGTTCAGATGTCAATGTTCGTTAATACAATCACTATTTTGGAAAACAAAATTAGTTTAAAATTAAAGTGAAGTAATGGATTCATAGTGACGTATTAGTTTTGCAAGAAAATTAGAGACACAGGTGAATGAATGCTTCTGAGAAATCTGATGAAGAATTGGAAAGATATACATTTTTGAATATCCATACAAAAAGTGATTACTTTTCTATATCTTTTATAAGCTACTCGCCAATCAATTTTGTTATAGAAAATCTATGAATAGTTTGGAACCACACTGCTATTATTGTGAAGTCATAGGTCATCCTTCAATGCCTCCTGGCATTACTTTTTCCTGTATTGTCCGTTTTCTGTTCATCCAGTCAGTAATGTTTGTTTACATATGTTCATTTTATATTTTCCATGATAAACGTTACGATTGTTATATTTTGAGTACTATCTCACAAGTTATGATGTATGTATTTTTTAATTTTCTATCTGTAATAAGTTTTGAATTAAATAAAAAATAAAAAATAAAATATTCAAATCCTTTCTTGTCTTACATGAGTATGAAGGAGGCCAACAATTCAGGGGAGGTTGTGGGAGGGGGTCGTATCTCTCCCACATATCCATTCTTTCTCTTTGGAGAAATTCAGGTCTCATTATCAGGGGCATAGTTTTAAAATTTCAGCAAAAAAGGGAACATAATAATAATAATAATTACAGTGCTTATATAGCGCCTAACACTTACTTTGTCAGAAGTCTCTAAGCGCTCTACAATAATGCAGCATAATTACCCTGGCTTTAGCAGTGCAGCTGTTACGCGCTTGCGTTTCAAGGAATAAATTCCTACCAGGTACCCATTTACTTCACCTGGGTGGAGTGTGGCAAATGTAGATCAACATAGAAAAGTGTTGCTTATGTAGCCAACAAGAAGTTGTTGTTGATGTCCTCTTTTTATTATTACGATTATTAAATATTTGGTGTCACCTGTGCCTGGGAGGCGATAAGAAACTAAATCACTTCACTTCACTTCACTTCTCCCGGTATAAAATGATTGGGGGTGTGCAGGTGGACCACTACACCGGGGTTTCCCCCTACTCTTATACGAACAGTGCAGTGGGTTCTTAAAGTGCAAAGGTGATGACTCTCCTGTACAAGGGGCCTTCATTTAATGTCCTATCCAAGGGACGGAGCGTTGTCCACTGTAACATAGCCTGCGTCTATGAAACAGGGGAGGGGGCACGTTAACACACAACGCAGGCTTCAGTCATCCGCCTGGGTTGGATTTGAACCCATGATCTTTGGTTCGACAGGCAGACGCTTTTACTGCCTTAGCCAACTCGCCTCCTCTTTTGTATACGGACTAGCTGAAAAACTTCCTTGGGGCTGCAAGCAGGGGATATTTCTAAACACTGTATTAAAAAAAATGAAATAACCAAACGAACTTGGAAAAGGATACTGAACTGATAAAAAATGTAAACTGGATAGATTCACCTTGATTTAATGACCTATTGTTCAGCATCGAATTCAGCGCAGCTCATTGTTATCATTCAAGTTCTCGAATTACTGTTTAGACTTCAAACACATCCAGGCCTGCCCAAGTAAATACACGTAGTGTACATAAATTTCATAATGTACATAAAAACATGCGACCCAAGATTAGTCATCGCCCGGGTGCGTTGTTTGTTTTTTCTCTGTTTGCTGTTGTGCTTAACAAGTTCAAGTTTGCATAAGACAAAACAATCCTTCATTTTTTTTTTATAGCAGCATCCACCCTCTTCAAGAAACACTTGAAACTTAACCAGAATGAACATAAAATCAAACAGATCAGCAAATATTATCAGCTCACGCTTCATCTTTGGTGTATTCTGCTCTCTTAAAGCTGACACATAAAATCCAGTAAACTTCTTTTATGATCCATTAATACAGGAAGAATAATTATACAACAAGTATGAGTGAATCACATGACACTTCTGTCACTTCATTATTACTACCTGGATTTTGCTTTTGCTTCCAAGTAATATCTTTCAATTTGTAGGTACCCATTCTCTATCCCTAGGTTGAGAATGGCAAATATTGATAAATGCCCTGCCTTACTAAAGAATTGCTGTTCCTGGGTTTGAAGTTTGAACCCATGAGCTTGGCATCAACAGTTAATTGTTTTAAGTTTAGAGTTTTAACCACTTGACTGCAACACCACTGTAAGGGCAACACAGCTAAAGCCAGGGTAATAATCTACAAGTTTGGAAGTGCTTTAATTGAGACTTAAGTTAATTGTAATTATTATTATTATTAAAGAGCAAGTGCTCAATAGATAGTCATTTCTAGAAATGTTGTATTCAATCTTTTCTGGTCCAGAGACTCCATTTCAAAGAATCATCAATTTGCCACGGTGTCAGAAACACGATGTCAGACGATACAGTACATAGGCCTACACCAGTCTGCAGTTAATTTTCCTGTCATAACTGGCCTGTACATGTATTTGGCAGATGCTTGTGGAAATGTTTTACTACCTAGAATTGTTCAAAGAAATAGATACAAACAAACAAATGAAAAATGGTTGATATCATGGTTATTTTGTCCCAATAGGTTACAAGCTGTGCATGTACAGTACATGTGCCAACGATACGCCCTTAATGTGTACATAACATACATTGCATTTCATAAAATGATGACATGCTGCTGTCGTTAAATGACTGTTTGGATGCTCTATTGGCAGTAATCCAAGGATCATCTCCTAAAATGCCCTAGAAACCTGACATTTAGTTTATTGATTAAGATATGGTGACCTCATTCTGTTAGCAGTGCAATTAAAATGCAGGGAGTCAAATGAAGGAATACTAGCCAGAATCTATGGTAATATTAGTGGTTTCTTGTATAGCGAACGTGTCTGTCGGATTTGACACTCCTGGCGCTCCACAACTATTACCCTGGCTTTAACCTGGCTGCCATTGTGGCGCTCTAGCATTTCAAGGAAGTTTTTCCTGCCAGGTACCCATTTACCACACCTGGGTGGAGTGTGGCAAATGTAGATTAATGTCTTGCCAAAAGACATTAGTGCTGCAGCAGCCGCTGCTCGTACTACATATAGGTAAATGAAATATGAGGTTACACGTAACAAGTCCATCATGCAAGGGGACAGGTGTGGAAGGGAGGGGTGTGATCTTGTTTTCTTCCAAACAGTGAATACCAGTAGTTGTGAGAACATTTGTGGATCACTTCTGAGGGATTTGGAAATAGGCAGTATCTCTTTCAATCACTGTAAAATGTCTCTTTTTGTCCCATCTCTCCCTCTCCGTCTGTCTCTCAGTCTCCTTTTAGGGGGTGCATTCTTCTATCTCTTTCCACTCCATCCTTATCCTTCTTTTGACCCTTCATCCTTCTTTGCTTTCAGCCTTATTTTGCTGATTCCCATCCCTCCTCCCCAAACTTCACCTAAACTGTATCTCTCCCCCTCTCTCCCTCTTCTCCCTCTCTCCCCCCTCTCTCTCTCCCCTTCTTTCCCCCTCTCTCCAGCGGTAACTCTTTGTAATAGATTAGCGGCAACATTGATTCTCCAAAATGTTGAAACAATGATTGCGGCCTCTTCAGTGGTAATCTGACATTTGCTACGCTGACATTGACCCAAAACTTCTAATACTTTATAAAGTGTACATAGCATTTATGGTGTTGGTTAAATTAAGGTCTATTCCAAGCAAATACAAAATTATATTGTCAGAGAATTTATATGTTTGAAAAAGATGTTTATTAAATAAACCATTGTGAAAGTAAATCGCAACTTCACCTAAACTTTATATATCTCTCCCCCTCTCTTCGGCGGTAGCCCTTTGTAATTGATTAGCGGCAACATTGATTCTCCGAAATGTTGAAACAATGATTGCGGCATCTTCAGTGGTAATCTGACATTTGCTACGCTGACATTGACCCAAAACTTCTAATACTTTATAAAGTGTACATAGCATTTATGGTGTTGGTTAGATTAGAGGCTATTCCAATCATTATGAAATGACATTTGCAGAGAATTTTTAAGTTTGAAAAAAGAACATTAAAGACACTTTGATAAAGATGACACATTAATGATTTAATATATAAACTAATATGGTACTGTCATAACAGTTGACTTTCCTATCAACCATTAATCAAATTCATAAAACATTGTAGTTTGAATAGCTTTGTTACAGAATTACTATAAAATGACATCCTATATCATTCTGTAACGAAGTATATGAATCTTTAATACTGCCCAAATATATACTCCCTCAATATTTGAATGTGCAAGAATCTTTATCATTTTCAGGAAAAATTTAAGGAGCACAATCCAGATCATTACTTTGGCTGCATTAAACTGCTACTAATTATCTTTATTTGGCTGAATCAAAATACTACTATTTATTTTTATTGACCAACATTCTTCCTACTACAGTCTGGGTTCAGAGTATTTATTATGTCTCATGGAAGCAAACAGGCAGGGACCAAACTCAATACCTTTCCTGTAAATTGACAAATTTTCCATGAACAGAGCAAGGAATTCCAAATAAAAAGATAAATAAGTAAATACTTTAATTTGGCCTCCAGACGATAAGCGAGGATAGACTAAACATTACTGTTTATTGTAAGATTTGATTGTTTATCTTGTCTTAAAGATACTTTTTTTCTTATCGTCCTTTTCTTTGTTATTTTGCAATTATATGTTTTCTTTTCCGCAATTTTGCTTGTTATTTGATTGAGATATATGTTCAGCAATTTACAGTGATACGTGTGGTTCTTGTTGACCCCGAGTATTGGCTGTAGTTTTAGGTTCAGTGAAAACTAACTCCTATTGTATCAACGATGTCTATAAACATAAGACTTTAAAATGCTTTTAAAGCCCCTATCAAGGATTTGCAAACCCTCAAAACCTATATCACAAACACTAAGGTCGTCTTAAATTGGACTTGAACTAAGGCAGGCCGTCCATGCCACTGGTTGCCCTCACCATTCCTGGCATTGGTCTGTCGAGGGTCGTACAAATCGTGGTCACACATCCACAGAATTCACATTTTTTGATAGTTTATTATTCAAGGAAAAAATATTATCTAAAGATCATAATTTCTAAGGTCTTTTTCCTCTCAATTTAAATCTGGTTCAAGATTTTTTGAGGGCATAAATCGCCTACTCTATTATAGGTCCAAGTCTTAAATATAAGTTTACAATGTAAGTAACTTTTTTTTCTTCTCACAATGAACTATAAAAATGTAAATTCTGTAGATTTGTGAGAGACCAATGGTGAGAGGTCTGCCATAGTTCAAGTCCAACTTAAGTCGATCTAAGTCTTTGTGAAACACCCCCCTGACCTGTCTAATCGTAACCTCCGTGAAGACACCAGCATGATGCCATGTCCAAAGTTTGCCTGACCTTGCGACATCTTCAATTAGGAGTCGATAGACACGCATCGATAACGGTTTTAATGATGTCTCTCGACTGGTTATCTTCGTTTTCAAGTACAATTGGCAAGATAATGGAGTAGATTATCTGTGCAAATTGATATAAAAATGAACTTAACCATGAACGCTGATTGCTGGTTGTAACTAAGAAGTGCTGTTCGAGCCATTCAGCTATCATTTTTTTTTAACTACAAAGTTTTGTTTATTTGTCTTTGATCTTGTATTGATCATGCTTTTATTGAATTGCTGATGATTTGCTGAAATGATCAAGAAGAGTGCTTGAACTTCCGCTGGCCTGGGCCATCGGTAATGATCATAGCTCATTAAGTAATCAAAAATCATGCTAAAAAAACGTGTTTTCGTCAGGCAGACGACACATGATTAATTCTGATTAATTATGGGAAAAAAATATATGGCATTACATTTTTTAAGAATGACCGGCTAAGATACTATTGGGTCAAAAGGGCATGTAGCTTTATTCCATTTCAGTGAAAGAAAGAAACCAACAAACATAAACATTAACGAATTATGGAGAATTTATGTGTCAATGTATTTTGGGAGTTGTACTTACTATTTTTCATTTTGGCTTTTTAACAGCCATGTGGAACTTGCTCAGTTCAGGGGTATGCAGAAATTAATGTTTATGTTTGTTTATTCACTAAAATGGAATAAAGCTCCATGCCCATTTGACCCTATATTATCTTTAATAGCCTGTTGTTCTTGAAAAAATAATGCCATATCTCTTTCTTTCCATAATTAATTAGAATCAATCATGTGTCTCCCACCTGATGAAAACACGATTTTTGAGCATGATTTTTGATTACTTAACAAGCTACGATCATTACCGGAGTTCAAGTACTATTCTTGATCATTTTCAGAGAGGTCAGCCAAATAGGTCAAGTTGGTCTACATCAAATGTTGATTTTATTGAAGGGTCTGTTGACACCCTGTGCTGTGTACCCAGTTCACGTAATTGGGCCAGTGCTGAGGTAATCTCGTAGATGCGATATATCGAATGCAAGAAACGGTTGAAAATACAGAAAATGCATTGTTTTTGTAGATGTACATGCAGACTGACTTGATGATGATAATCCTTTTTGTTTTGCCCCTTTGAGCTTACAAAGTTGACATTATTACCTTGGCTTTTACATGTAGTTCTGGCAGCCATTTTCAGGAATACGTTCTACCGAGCACCCACTTTTTTGTGCATGTACCTTGGTGGAAAATGCATAGAATTGCCAAGTTGTCTTTGATTGATTATAATTATCTTTTTCTCTCTTTTTTTCTGCTTTTACCAGAACCAATTTGATATCAGGGTGGTCTCCCCGTTTTAGAATAGAGACTTTAAACTAGAATAAAATCTTTCCAGTCAAAGTAGATTATTATATGTAAAAAAAAAAATGTTTTGACTTTCCAGATGCTACAAAAGCTGAGTTCCCTATTGAATGTTAACTTTGGATTGTTTTGTTGTTTTGTTTTTACAGAGCAAAGAAGAAATGATCAACATGAGGTTACGAGAGGCCGAATCCAACGCGGAGCTGATTGAACTGAGACAGCGGGTTTCGGGCCTGGATATTCAGGTATGTCAATATACATGTACTATTTCAATCATTTACTTGTAGCTTACCAAAAATTGTTGCGGAGAAGGAGAAGGAGGAGGAGATGAATGAGAAGGGGAAGGAGGGAACGGAAGAGAATAGAGAGATTGTATTTAGAAGGAAAGGTAGAAAAAAAGAAGAGGGATGAATAAGAGAAAGAAAGAAAGAGATGAGCAGGAGATGAGAAAAAGGAGAATGAGACAGGGAGGAAGAAGAAAGGAAGAGGAGGAAGTAAGATGAGGAGAGGAGGAAGAAGAAGACAAAGGAGGTGAGTGTTGAGGAGATGAAGGGGGAGGAAGAGGAAGGAGAAAGAGGAGAAGAAGAAGAAGAAGAACAAGGAGGATGAGGAGGATAAAAAAAGAAAAAAGGAGTTTAAAAAATTTATGCAGAAGAAAAGAAGAAAGTACAAAACAAAAGAAGGAAGGATGAAAAGGAAAACAGAAGAAAAGTGGAGAGGGTGGAGAATCAAGGAAAAAAGTCTTTTTCAGAGAGGGGGTGGATTTCTTTGTTGAATGACGGTGAAAATTAATGTCTTTATGGTGCTTACTTTTCTTTCCAGAATTCAGAGCTTATAACCAAGAACTCTTTGATCCAAGCTGAGAGTTACCACCGGGTAGAGGAACTCAAAGACAGGATCATGGAACTAAAGAGAGAGGTAAGTTTTATAACAGAATTCCCTCTTTTGGGTTCTGTGTTATTGCTGTTGTATTATGGGAGGGTTTATTGGTGTGAGTTTTCCAGGACTATTCCACCTGTACTCAGTATTACTTCCCATGCATTTTTACCCTGGGATATCCCCCCCAAGACCTCTACACCCCATTCAACTAAAATTCTAAGCATCTTCCTCCTTCCCTTCCCCCTCCCCACGCCCTCCATAAAAACAAACAACAACAGCTGAATCACTTATCCTGTATGTAGTTGTATGAGGGGTAATTTGTTAGAATTGGGGGGGGGGGGGGGTAGTTGGGATGTGGGGTAATTGTTATTGGGTTGATATGGAGGGGGGGGGGATAGTTGCCCGGGAGGGTGGTTGCCTAGGGGTTAGTTGTTCAGGCAAGTTGCCCCTGGATGGTAGTCCATGGGATGATTGCCCTAAAACCGTTGGGTTGGTGTGTCATAGATAGTCTGCTAGCACAGACTCTGATTTGACACTTTTTGATGTTTTACCACAATTCTTAAAGCCTTGAGCAGAGCCTAGATCTATCAGCTTCTGGCTGGCGTGGCAAAAGTATATTGTAGTCTCATAGTGCAGGCACTGTTACGCATAACGATTGACCAGGGTTTGTGCCAGCAAACTATGTCATTGATATGAACCAGCGATGAAGAAGTGTCTTTGCATTGGCACTCCAACAATAGTTAGGCTGCTCACCATTCTTATGACACAAATTTGTTTTATTGCTTCATTTGTGTTTGATTTGTGTGTGTGTGAACTTGTGTTATGATAGTGCTACATGATCCTGAGCCCTGTTACATAAAACTTGTTATCAAACAATAACAAGTTACAATAACTGTCATAGAACTTTAGCATTTGTTATTGATAGCAAGTTTTATGAAACGGGGGCCCTTTTGTTGTGCTAAGGTTGGTGTTGTATTGATGCTCTTGCATACACATGTAAAGGTATACAACTGAATGTTTTAATGGTCGTTTGATGGCGAAAATATACTTTTATGATTTGGGTGATTCTAGATTTTGTCTTTATTTTGATGAGGGGTGTAGGCCTTGTGAATCTGAATTTCGATCAATTGTTGGTCCTGTATCAAAATTATCTAAACAGCTTAAAGCTGATCTTGATCAAGCTCTGGTATGTCAAGAGAACATGGCTATAATTCATTCTGGATTGTTTATCCTGCAGTAGATTGCTTGTTTGAACCAGTGAAATAATTAAAAAACGCACCAAAGCTTGCTGGGCATCATCTTCGATAAAAACCACAACTCCCATTTGCACATAGTGACCTGCGTTATTAAAGCACATGGTGTCAGGCCTACATACCCGGATTTCCTTATCTTTCTATGCTCATTACTCAGCCACTATACATTTTCTACCAAAATCGTATGGTACATGTCATTTATTTGTAATCTTGAACATTCAGTGTGAGTTTTGTTGGATTCTGTGAGAATTTATTTTCTATCATTACCAGAACCAAAGCTTGTCTTTAACCTCTTATGTCAAACCTGTGAACCATGTTTCATTATTTAGAAGCTACTGTTTCAAAAATGTTTTTCACACACCTCTGAAATTTCACCTTTCTGATCTCTCAGTTTCAAGCACAAAGCTCCTGTCATTGTAAGCTTATATAAACAATAACCCTGTTTGTTTTGTTAATAATGCTAAATCCATATATCTTTTGAATGAGATACAATTGTTCATGCTCAAACATTTACATTTAAGATGTTGTTTGTTATGTGAAAAGAAATGATTGAATATCAAGAGACACATGCAGCATGTCTTTCTCGTAACGATTAGGTGTATTGTTGTAACATTTCAGTGGGGAGCGAAAGGGTAATACCTGACCAACTATATGCAGGCATACCTGGAAAAATGTTAAAAACCAATATTTTCTATCACAAAAAAAGTAAAAATTGAAAAAGAACTTTAGGGCATTAAAGTCATTTCGCTCTTGAAAGCCTTGCTCTTCAAAACTTAAAAAATGGATAACTAATTAAAGATACTTTGAAATTTTAATCACATTCTATTAAATCTATCTCAATATCTGGTCAGCTCTCTTTTTATTGTTTTGAATAAAAGATATCAAATAAAAGACAGGAAATGTAACGTATTAGCCTAGCAAATCCAAAGAGGTCTTATAGAAATTGACAGCAATTTCTTTATGCTAAATAATGGCCTCTCACTTTATCCCACTCACCTATGATCAGAAGGTTCAGAAGCAAAATTTACAAAGTTCTGTTGAAAGCCAAAAGGATGTTCAGTCTGTAAAAAGTACAGGATTTAATGCCCTTCTTGCTCACAATGAATAATAATGATATCATAATAAAATGTCTTTAAGCATTATACAAACAAAATACATTGACAAACAATTACAGGGTGTATATATTAAACGAAAAATGAACACTCACTATATTTTTAGTAATCCATGGTGGGAATATCCAGTACTGTCAGTTATTAGTTATGTTATTCAACATCATTGTATTGATAAATCATCATGGTCAACGACTTTGGGAAGTTGTCAACCCAGTTCTTGATACTTGGTACCTTGCCAACTCTCTGGCGCACAGGAGCTACCGCCGGAGTCAGCGGTGCTTGTAAGGGGGTCAGCGATCACCCCATGCTCGAGACCTTTGCCACTCCCACAGCAGTGTTTAATTAATTCCAAGTAAGACCTCATAGGGGTTTGCTAGGAACACAATTCCATCAGGAACAATGGCTTACCCAGCTTCAAAAAATAGCTTGATATATATATATATATATATAATTCTACCTCATACGAAAGAAGAAGGAACAATGGATCTTTTTTTTAAAGGTACAATTTAGAGTCTTTGGGGCATTCACATTTTATTCTCCAAAATGTTTTGATATTAATGATAATAATAATGATAGTGGGTTCTGGTATAGCGCTCATGTCTGTCAGACTTTATTTTTACTCCAGCTTGAGCATGGCTGCCCTTTAGGAAAGCAATCACTACATGATATTGTCTTATAAATACAGTCATTCAGATTCCGCTGGAAACCCAGCATTTGAAGGAATTAATTCCTGCCAGGTACCCATTTACCTCACCTGGGTCGCAGAAGCAGAAAACAATCGGAACGGGTCAGTAAAAGTTTTAGTTAAATTGGATTTTAAAAATATAAATTGGCAACACTGTGACATATCTTGCGAGGTCCTCTCCACTTTACTCTGTACATAAAATTCCATGAACTTTCATTTTCTTTGTTATTGATGACGTAATAGATTTTTTTTGTTTCCATACAGGGGTTAATAATAATAATAATAGGCATTTGTATAGCGCCTTCTATCTAGACAATGTTATATACCTCACTTAAGTAATCCAGCCATCTGATTGGTCGAAATTGCATTCATAAACTTCAACTGTTCCTGTAAAATTCCCGGTAACCATGCTTAAAACATTTAATATTTTTAATAACCACGGTTATTAAAAAAATAGGTCAGTCTCCATGGTTACCCCATAGGTTTACATGTTAAAAAATGGTTTGAGCGATGGAGGATACTGTATGTGTGCGAATAATTGGTCGGTAATTTCAATACAATTGAATCTCGATCGATCTTACCGACAATTTTATCTTGCATTGTTGACATGAAGACGAAAATAAACTTCCAAAAACAAAAAAACAACATCTGCCGATAGATCTTGATCTAAGTTCGTGCCAATATGCATTGCAAAAGTAAAAGAAGAGTCCGTATATGGAGCTTTTGCGAAGCATTCATCACACGCAAAGCCGGTTTCAATCCATTTTAATGTATATATAGTACAAAACTGCCAAGCATGTTAATAACGCGCGATGGCCGAGAGGTCTGAGGCGCTGACTTAAGATACATCACCTTTTGTACGCAAGAGTTCGAATCTCATCTTGGACCAAAAAAAAAAGTATTTTTTATTTTTTATTTTTTAGTCTATTTTTTTTCGGCATATAAAAGTATTAATGACTGCTTTAATATTCGAGAAATAGTTGTTTTTATACGCTCTTGGGAAGGTTACAATTGGGCTATTCCCCTCGGCACGCCTCGGGTAATAGCACAATTCTAACCTTCCCTTGAGCGTATAAAAACAACTATTTCTCTCAAAGCAGTCATTAATACTATACTATTCCGAGGTGCACAAGAAAAATAGAAAGAATGAGAAAGTTTGGATGAGTGTCATAGTGCCAAGTACAGGTATTGTTAAAAAAGATAAGATTTCAGCTTGGATTCAAAGGTCTCTAAGGAAGTTATGATTCTCAAATTAAATGGTAAGTGGTTGTATAGAAACTGCTTCTATTAAAACCAACTTATTATCAGGGTAGACTTCCCTTTTAACTGCCTTATGACCTTAGAGTTACAGAACAATTTTTGTTTTATATTTTATTTGTTTTGCTACTTATTGGTGAGTAAGTTTGAAATTGAGGAGGAGGGGTGGAGTGAGGGAAAGGCAGGCCCCAGTTTCTCAGAAAAACACTACCTGGGGAGAAAATATGACGTAAAAAAAGGTTCTGTTCAAAATATTTGTATTTACTTTTAGTTGATTGTCTAATGACTGTTCAAGAGATTATATTAGGTCCATGGACGTATTTTCATTTGTAAAGTTATGCAGGCTTACAAAAGGTATTAAGGGGCGAGCAGGGAGACCCATTTTCTCTGAAAATATTGTCACTTGGAGAGAGAATCCTTCAAGAGTTTATGACCTCCAAAGGTTCTGTTCAAAATATTTGTATTTACTCTAAGGTGAGTACTAGGCTAATGACTCGTTGAGGTGATGGGGTCGTGTCGTCATAGAGTGCAAAGATCACTTGCTTGTTTTCTTCCAAGTTCCATGCAGTGTTGCCACTTCGAGGGGGAGGGGAGAGTGGGAGGGGGGGGGTATGGAGGGTACTGGTGAGGTGTTTACGTCCAAGCACAAACAGAGTCACTAATTCAATTTGGTGAGGGTAGGAATAAATAAGGATATAAGGTCATAGGCTTGTTGATTCTTAGTCAAGGATG